AGAGCAGGAGGGGAGGGGAAAGAAACTCAGAGCATCATGGAGCCCCCCAGCAGCTTAGGCCTATAGCAGCATAACTAAGGGAGGGCTCAGGGTCACCTGATCCAGCCCTAACTATAAGCTTTATCAAAAAAGAACGTCTTAAGTCTAATCTTCAAGGTAGAGAGGTAGTCTGCCTCCTGAACTGAGACTGGGAGTTGGTTCCATAGGAGAGGAGCTTGATAGCTAAAGGCTCTGCCGCCCATTCTGCTTCTGTGTACTCTAGGAACCACAAGTAAACCTGCACTCTGAGAGTGAAGTGCTCTGTTAGGATGATACGGCTCTACGAGGTCTTTAAGATACGATGGAGCCTTGTCATTAAGGGCTTTGTATGTTAGGAGAAGGATTTTAAATTCTGTTCTGAATTTTACAGGGAGCCAGTGGAGAGAAGCTAATATGGGAGAGATATGATCTCTCTTGCTCGTTCCTGTCAGTCCTCTGGCTGCAGCATTTTGGATTAACTGGAGGCTTTTTAGGGAATTATTGGGACATCCTGATAGTAAAGAGTTACAGTAGTCCAGCCTGGAAGTAACAAATGCATGGCCCAGTTTTTCAGCATCACTTTGAGACAGGATGCTCCTGATTTTTGCAATATTGCGTAGGTGAAAGAAGGCAGATCTAGAGACTCGGTTTATGTTTGATTTAAAGGACATATTCTGATCAAAGATGACTCCAAGGTTCCTCACAGTAGTACTGGAGGCAAGAGCTATGTCATCTAAAGTAACTATATGATTAGACAGCAGATTTCTAAGGTTTTCAGGCCCAAGCACAATGACTTCAGTTTTGTCAGAGTTTAGAAGTAAGACGTTGCAGGTCATCCAGGCCTTTATGTCTTTAAGTCATGCTTGAAGTTTGACCAGCTGATCTGATTCATTTGGCTTCATAGATAAATATAACTGAGAATCATTTGCATAGCAATGGAAATTTATGTTGTGCTTCCTGATAATATTGCCTAAAGGGAGCATGTATAAAGTGAAGAGTATTGGACCTAACACAGAGCCCTGTGGAACGTCGTGACTAACTTCAGTTTGTGTGGAACATTCGTGATTAACATGAACAAATTGAAATCTTTCTGATAAATAAGATTTGAACCAACTTAGTGCAGTTCCTTTAATCCCAATAACATGTTCAAGTCTCTGCAGTAAGATGCTGTGATCAATGGTGTCAAAAGCAGCACTGAGATCTAAGAGGACAAGTATGGAGACAAGTCCTTTGTCTGAGGCTAGGAGAAGATCATTGGTGACTTTCACCAATACCTCATTGTGCAGTTTGAAGTTTATCACCAAATAAGTATTGCTCAAAACTGACTTCTGCCTGCAAAATAAAAAATCTTAAAGCAAGTAAACTGGTTATCTGAGATCCACCAAGTTGGCAGTTCAGCAGCTTCTATACTCATTTGACAGTCACCACTGTCCCCCACTTCTTCAAAATTTATATGGCAAGGAAGTTATAGAAAGCCTTAAGGGATTTTCTCCCTGTTGTCCACTGGTGCCAATCAAAGCTTGACTGTAACTCCATTTACTTATGCTGATGGGTTTTGAGCTAATTACAGAAAGGAGAATTACTGAAGATCATTGAAGAAGGTAATGGCACCCTTTTGCACTGTGCATCCTTGTCTAAGACATTGCTAGGCATTCACAACTCTATTTATATGCTCTATTTATGAGATGAGTTTCTGAAACAATCTGTGATCAGAATGGCACCAGTGCTGTGAGATGACTGAGTGCCTAAAAAGGAAAAAATGCCTTTTTCTGAATGGCTGGGAAAAGGACCCAATCTGCATGCAGGGCAGTGTTTTTGTGCTAAGACAGGAATCAAAAATTGTCCTCGACACAATCAACTGTATGTAACAAGGGAATGTTATTATTCTGAACCAAGGCATTCTGAAAGAAGGTGACCAGAAACATGAAAAGCAGAGTGAGAAATGTTGAGATGT